CATGTAAATTACAGCATTTTAGACACTGAAAGTGATAAAGGAAATAGTAGACAAAGTGCTTTGGGAAAGGCTTAGAATCTCGTCTAAAGGGAGAGGGAAAATAAACATGTGAGATATATTTACACTCTTAGCAGTATAGCTAAACAAATACATAGCTAATTTTAGCTGTACAAACAGTGTTGAAGGAGTACGTGAGATGACTGTGGCCAAAGTTGTTAGTGGTTTTGAGAATAATGAACTATGCTTGGAAGTAGAAGGACCCAGTAAGGAGCAACTAGAAATTCTCTTTGCTGCTCATTATTTATGTTCACTAAAGTACTCATCTCTAGTACCTCATGCATACATTTAGGCAAACATACAGTAAGTTTGGCCAGATGACTGAGTATGCTAGTTATCCAGTGGGGTATGCCAGCAAGACTTGGTTTGTGAATTTGTAAATAATTCTTGTGTCCTAGCTACTTCAAATTATAGAAATTTTTAGGATTTTAGATCAGAGAGAAATATAAATAGCAAAACATGGCTGATCTGCTACCCTGCATTTGTCCCTGTTAAAGATCATTTTAGTCGCCTTCCTTCTGACTCTGTCTCCAGATGACCTGTGTTCCTATAAACCACAGAAGTAGGAGCTAATCTTGAAATTACTTTCCAGTCCAGTTACTTGATTTACTATGTATGTGTTCCTTAGCACTATTGCCATTGCTCTTATTTTACTTTATTTAAGGAAGTTCATTATTAAGCAAGTACCTTTCCAAAAGATTATTCCTTCCTTTCAACCACTCTCAAATACCATCTTCTTCCACATCAGAGTATTGTGCCATGTACTGTGAAAAAAAACTATGTCCTAGTTTTTCTCACACACACACACACACACACACACACACATATATATATATATATATATATATATATATATATATATATATATATGCTGAGTCTTAAGGTGGCTTAAGAATCGCCTCAGAAATACTTAAATATATTCAACCCCAACAATAAAACAATGATCTGTAAACATAGTATCGTATACTGGATTGAATCCTGTAACAGGAAAAGGAAACAACTAATGAAATCTGACTAAAGTTTATTAGCTAACATAGTAGTCCATTGCTAAATCTTGACCAATGTTCCATGGTTATGTAAGACATAAACATCAGAGTATAAGTATATAAGTACTTTACATATAAGGAGGAAATTGAGACAGGAAGTCCATGTAAAGGTCCTAGTTATTTTCAAAACTTAGTTTTTCAAGCATGAGAAAAATTTCAGAGCACTAAAGTGTACTTTTAGATAGCTCTAGATATAGTGACATAAACAAGGTAAATAGTCTACTCTGACAATGCCCTGCCTGCTTCTTCAGTTTTCTTTTTCCTTGGTGCATTCTGTCCACATCCATAGCTCCAGCTAGCTTTTTATGCTGATGTCAGAAGTGACACTGGCTCATTTTCACCTCCTGATCTCAAATAAAAAACAGACACAAAGAGAGAGGAACAGAGAGGAGGAGAAGGAAGGAGGGAGAGAGAAAAGAAGAGGCAGAAACCACACACACACACTCACACAGAGTGAGTAACTGGTTCTGTATTGCTATTGGCCTAGACAAGATCTTCATGCTATAACCACATTAGATGATCAACTCACACTTACTTTCCTCCTTTTTTCTATCTCCAATCACAACAAGTTATGAAGAGCACAGACCTTTGAATCCCAGCTTTTTTGACCCTAGCACATTAGTCTTTGCCTCTCAATACATGTCTTCTTATATAAAATAGAGCCTAAATTAAAGTGCAAGACTGTTATGAGAACTGAGTGAAGTGATATATGTCTAGTGTCAAGTTCAAGCTGGGCACTTCTCATTGTCACTAGAGCTTAGTAATGTACAGTGACATGAGGAATAGTCTCTTGGTCAATCATGCCTCCGTGTGTGGTGTGTGTGTGTGTGTGTGTGTGTGTGTGTGTGTGTGTGTGTGTGTGTGTGTGTGTGAGAGAGAGAGAGAGAGAGAGAGAGAGAGATGTTTATTGAAAGTGGAGTTTAATCATATCTTTTGATCCTTTTAAGGATCATTCCACAACAGGGAGCATTATTGCAGGGGAACTAAAACTACATGAGGGAATTGCACATTTTCCCCATACCTCACCTAGCTGCACTGGGGTTGGGCTATAATTTCTGAAGGTGCATCTTCGAACTATTAGAGCTGAAGAGAGCCCAATCTCAGGAACTATATTCTATTTTCTAGAATATAATGCCCTTGTCACTTAGTCTATTCCCATTCCTGTGGATGAAGCCCTGTTTTTCAACAGAATTCTTCATAGCTCCAAATTAGAATGCATGAATCCCAGTTCTTTATGGAATAAGGTCTTTGTCTGATTCAATATACTTTTCTCAGTGGTTTGGTATAATATCTGTAACATAGTATGTGCTTAATCATTATTGAATAGATGAAGGATGAACAAGTTTAACTGTAGGATTTGATGACTAATGCAACCTTAATTGAAAAACAATAATGAATTTGCCCACCAATTAGATATTAGGCCAGTGAGTTCTATACCTTGATTATCCCAGTCATTCAGAAAGTTTTTGTTTTATTTTTTGCTTAACAGTGACTTCTGGGCTCTACCACATCTATATCCCTGTCATTTTCTACACTTTTCCCAAGTGATTGATTATAAGATAGCCAGGCTTAGGATCTACATTTCAAATTATGTTCCCTGTGCTTAAGTTTTCTATTTTCACATTGACATTACAATTATCAGTTTGTTTATGTGTCTTTCTGTCATTTGACTTTATGCTTTTTTGAACTCAGATACTGGGACTGTCTTATTTTTTTTTTTAAGTTAGAAAGATTTATTGCCATGTGAGATCTCAAAAAGGGAGGCCGGTTTGGGGAAGAGCTGGGTGGCGGACAAATCCAGGAAGCCTGGCATCACATCCATCCTCTAAAGTGGGATCCTCCTTGCACAAAACAGCTGCTGGGGAGCCCTCCCTTCAGCAACCATTCCTATTTTGTTTTGCCCCCGGGGCTTAGAGGCTGCAGAGCTTGAAGCTCTGAGAAAGCCATGTAAGCTTTCTCTTTGGGGCTGGATGCTATAGATTTGGTGCCTGTGGAGGGAGAATTCATGCCAGAGAAGTTGTATAAGACTAAAACAGACAAAGCCTACCAGAGGTCATAAGCTGGACACCCATGAGCCAGATTTCTTTCCCCTAAGAAGGTCACACAGCCTTTTTGACCTGCCCTAAGTGTACAAAAAAGTGATAATAGTAATTGCCAATTTTTTTAAAAAGCATAAGATTTCATATCAAAAATGTGGAAAATTGACCTTCCTATAGGAAAAAAAATTGTGTTTGAGGACAACTTTGTTATTCTCAAAATGGCAGCCCCTGGACCTGCTCAAAGCAGGAAGGGACAGACAGACTGGACACAGCCTGAGAAATCACATCCTCAGCTTGACGCTGACCTTGAGCACTGGGCCCAGGGCACAGGTGACTTTTAATATTTATCTGGGGATAAGATGAGGGATATTTATCCTGGCCATGAATACCAAGGAGTATTCAGCACAAAAGAGCAAGTGGAGACTGGAGGTCGGAGGCTGGAATCAGGTTCTAGAGGCCCTGATTTGTGTCTCTTTCCTGGTTCTATTGGCACACTTGAATTCGTTTAAAAAAAAAAAAGTGTCATTCTATAATAAATCTCGGGGCTGGGAAGGTGGCTCAGTGGTAGAGCGCTTGCCTTGCATGCATGAAGCCCTGGTTCAATTCCTCAGCACCACATAAGCAGAAAAAGCCAGAAGTGACTCAAGCAGTAGAGCGCTAGCCTTGAGCTGAAGAACTGAGGGACAGCGCTCAGACCCACAGTTCAAGCCCCACAACTGACGAAAAATAATAATAATATAATATAAATCTCACACAAGAGCCAACACCAGTGTCTAGTCTGTCTCTCCAGGTGCACCTGAGTGGATGTGAGGTAAAATTAGAAAAGAATACAAATTTAATCACACAACGGTTTTTTGCTGGTACTGGGTTTTGAACTCAGGGTCTGGGCGCTGCTGGGACTGTCTTATTGACGAATGCTTACCTAATAGGAGGCACAGTACAGTCATAAATGTTAGCTAAATAAACTAGTAGTTTCTTTTAAGACAGCTACATAGCACCACATATGTAACATGTGGTACCATGAGGTACCATGCTAACACTATGAGGTTTGTTTTGGATTTGGCTTTTATGTGTGGGTTTTCTTACCATCCAGCCTCAGTCTACTCCACTCTCATAGTGATTATTTTTTTTCCTATCTATTAACTGTCATCTATCCAGATGCTGTAAGCTAACAGCAACCAAAGATACTGGACTTCATCTAGGATTCGAAACAGAGAATATTTTGTACCATTATTCCCATCTGTTCCTGGGTTCTAAAAATTCCCATAGCTATGCATTTAAGAGGATAGATCATTACTGTGACATTCGATACCACTGGCCCCCATAATGAAATCCAAACATACAAAGACAAATATACAGGTTTCCACTGCAATGCTTCTCAATTCCAAAATCCATTAACTTAGGTATTCAGTATTCCAACTAAAAAGATGTTGAGAGAGATCAAATTCAGTCACCCTTGTTATACAGTGTTGAAGCTGAAGCCAGATGGGTTTGGGACTTGCCCAAGTTCATACAGCTTATTAAGGACACAGCTACCATAAGAAACCAGATACTTTGGTCTTCAGCCTTGGACCACTATATAGTAATTAATACACACATATTCCAATATGTATATAAACATATATGTACATAAATTAGATTATGTTAGAAGTGAAAAATCAATTTCTGGATTCTATTCTGGTATTTGTGTTAGAAAAATAGCTGAGAAAAAGATAGTATTACAAGTTTCTCAGAGGGTTTGGAAGTAGGAGTAGTGGTAGAAAAGTGGGAGGACTGAGGAAAGGAATTCTTGAATGAGACTGCAGAAAATGTATTTTGTAACACCACAGTTCACTTGTGTGTCTGCCCTTGTTTTCAGAATTTTCCCCAGAGAATACCTCCTTCAGCAGATCCACCTGTACTCCCTGGCTGACTTGCAGCAGGTAGGTGCTGAGGGGCCGTTCCACTTGTGTTTTCTTCCCAGGGAGGTCTTTGGTCATGGTCTTGGTACCAAACCCTACCATGATTGTGGTAAGTTTTCATCACAATCTTGATTAATTATTTTCTGATGGAGAGATGCAGTGCTTTTCCCACTTCTTCAGAAAGTTAAACATAGATCTACGTGGCCCAGTGATTCCACTCCCAAGTATAAACCCAAGAGAATTAAAAACATGTGTCCACATGAAAACGTGTATGAAAACATGGCCAAAGTGTCAGAGGCAGAAAAATCCAGAGTTCAAAGCCAGCCTGGACAGCATAGTGAGACCCTGTCCCAAAACCAAACAATAAAAAAAAGAGTAAAAATAACCCAAATGATGAGTAGATAAATGAAAGATTATTTAGCCATACAATAAGACTTGGGTGAGCCATAATAGGAATAAGGTATTGACACATGTCTAACATGTGGGAACCTTAAAACCATCATGCTTAGTGAATAAGGACAAATAGAAAAGAGTGTGTATACCTAGATTGTATTTAAACAAAATGTCCAGAATAGGTAACTTCACAGTGGTAGAAAGTAGCTTAGTGGTTTGTCAGAATCTGAGGAAAGTGAAGGAATAAGGAGGGACCAGTTGTGACTGGAAAGGGATTACTTTGGGGTTCATGAAGATTTTCTGGAATTAGGTTGTGATGATTGTTATACAACTTTGTGACAATACTAAAATTCAATGGATTGCTTATTTACTTATTTATTTTTATTTAGTCAGTCACGGGGCTTGAACTCAGGGCCTGGGCGCTGTCCCTGAGCTTTTTCACTCAAGGCTAGCACTCTACCACTTTGAGCCACAACACCACTTCTGGTTTTCTGGTGGCTAGTTGGAGATAAGAGTCTCAAGGACTTTCCTGAGCCAGATGGCTTTGAACTGAGATCCTCAGATTTCAACCTCCTGAGTAGCTAGAATTACAGACATGAGCTACAGCACCTAGCCAATTGTTTACTTGGAAAAGATAACTTCTTAGTCGTAAAGTAACATGTGCTTATAATAATCTCAGTTAAATGGGAGGTGGAGACATGAAAATCAAAATTCAATGTCAACCCAGGCAAAATAATTTAGCAAAACTCAAGTTGGACATAGTGGTACATGCTTACAATCTCAGCTAACAGGAGACAGATCTTGGTCCTGGCAAAATGTAATACCCTTTCTGAAAAATAAAGCAGAATGCACCAGAGGTATGTCTCATGTGGTAGAGTGCTTGCTTAGCAAGTGCAAAGCTGAGTTCAAACCCCAATACTGCCGAGAGAAAGAGAGAGAGAGAGAGAGAAATGAATTAAAATAAAAGGGTGAATTTTACAGTATCTGAATTATATTTCAATCTTTTAAATGAGAAGAAAAAAAAGTTGTGAAAGTCAGTGAATGTATTAAGCCATCTGAACAAGCCAAATAGTTTAATAACTTTTAAACATTTAATAAAACACAACAGAGCATCTGAGAGTCAAAAATCATCTTTTTATGCTTTTATTAGTACTTGCACTTTTAATGATTGACTAGGTTAGTCCCTGGAGGAAATCAAAGTTTTGTGTGTTCTGTCCTAAGTTCTGGTATGTGGAGCTTTGGTTAATCATTTAAATCAACAACTCCCTAAGAAGCTGCTAGACACTAAATGAATGCATTACTTTCCTTTCTAAATAGGCCATGCTTCTTTTAAGAGCCAATTACAAAAATAATTGTGACAACTTTCCAAGATCTCTAACGGCTGGGACTCAGTCCTCTTGTCTTCTTCCTAGTTGTTTTAGCCAGAAGAAATGAGGTCATCTTAAAAACTGTCCATTGTCTTCCTGTCATTTTTCAGACTTTAAATTACTTTTCAAGGCTTCTTGTGTATATTTTTTTAAAAATATATTATTTTAAATTAAGACTTTTGTGTTCTTTTCCCTCTGGAGATAGGACAGTTATTTTAAATGGAAAATGTATTTTACAGTATTTAGTTGGAGAAATCTGATTTCCTCCTGTGTGTCAAGTTGAAAACTATTTGCACAACTTACTTTCCTCCAGCTCCTTCAGCCCTGCCCAGAAAAGCAGAGAGCTGCTGGCTAGGGTGTAAGGGGCTGTATTTTAATTACTCAGTAGCATTCAACAAGAAAAAAATGACTTAAAGTATCTGCTATACATCTCTCTGTTTTCTAGCTGTCTGTCTGAGCATAGTAGTGCAGGGCCCAGCTCATCACTTGAGAGGTCTGCTTAAAGGTAGCAAACATTTTTGTACATGTAGTCTGAAATAGATGGATGGGCTCTAAAGTGAATACTCTGAGGAGTGCTAATATCAGATGAAGAGAAAGAATCGAGTAATCCCATATTCTTTTAGGGTATCAAAGTAGTGCATCCAATTGGAATAATAAAGCCTGCTTTTTAAAGCTTTCCCTGCTGTCTTTTTTCTTTCTTTCTTTCCCCCTTGTAATAATCTGACCACACATGCCATGCAGCTTACTTGAGTTAGTGGCCGTGGTGCTCTTGGTGGGCTAGGCCATTAGCCCCCAAAGCCCCATAAGCAGCTTAATCAGTTTCCAGCCTAGGTAGTAAAGTGATAGAGGCAATCAACAGCTTATCAAACTCCCTGTGGGCGGGGTGGCTAGAGCTCAATGCATCCATTTACTTAGCTGCTCACTCTAACCTGGTTCTTTGTGCCTGGCTTTCAGATCCCCAAACTTATCATATTTAGAGGAAGTTTAATTCAATTATTATTTCTGCCTGAGGTGGGTTAAATTAGATTTTTGCTTTTGATCTGACGATATCTTGGTTATCAGCTCTAAAGAGCACCCCCTCCCTACCCCTCTGCCCCATCTGCCTTTGGTCTCCATATAAATGAGAGCATGTTTTCTAGGTCAGCTGTTTCTGAAACATAGGAAAGGACAAGGAGAAAGAAAAAAATACTATTAAAAATACTATTGTGAAAGAGCATATCAAGCTCATAGGAACTCTTCCTCTTCCTAACCAGCTCGGCCACCAACCCCGTGTGACCTGTACCATCTCAGTCTCTCTCCAGCGGCTTCAGTTTGCTAGTAAATTACTTTTCCTTGTGAGATTCCACTTCTCATTCCTAAAGGCTTCAGTTAAAGCAGACTATTCTGTTTTATAACTATAGAAGAGGAATTTTGGTGTCCATATTTTACAGATGAAAGGAAGAGAAATTAAACCAGGTTATTGAAGTGTTACAAATTCTGAACTACAGTAGCATGATATTCTTCCTGAATGTACAGATGACTTTCTACAGATTGCTCTTATAGGAATTTAATTTTTCCAATATCTTTTATTTAAAATACAGAAGGATGCTGGGAAGGTGGCTCGGAGAAACACAGTAAAGAGATATTTATAATCTATACAGAATTCTAAAATAATATAGTATTCAAGCACTAATAATATTAAGAGTTGCTGGAAAGATTCTAATACCAAATAATTTTAAAATGCAACTTCTAGTAAGACACTAGTGGATCATGCCTATAATCCTAGCTACTCAGGAACCTGAGATCTAAGGATCACGGTTCAAAGCCAACCTGGGTAAGAAAGTTGGTGAGATTCTTATCTCCAGTTAACCACCCAAAAACCAGAAGTGGTGCTGTGGCTCAAACTGGTAGAGCACTAGCCTTGAACAAAAAGATCTCAGGGACAATGCCCAGGCCCTGAGTTCAAGCCCCATAGTCAAAGAAAGAAGGAAGGAAGGAAGGCAGAGAAAAAAGAAGGAAGGAGGGGGGAGGGAGGGAGGGGAGGGGATGGGAACAAGCAACTTCTTTTCTCTGGGTTTGTGTTTATAAATAATAAACCCTAAAGTTTTAGCAGATATACCAAGTCAACAATTGGAAGATTTCAAACTACCTTGATGCATCTTTTGTTATCTTCAAAACAATCCCCCCTTCTTATTTTTACTTATCACTTCTTTACATGCTTTCTGTCTTTGTGCACTTGGACATGAGAAAATCAGTAGCAAAGGCCGGCAAAGGAGACTTTCTGTTTGCTATAGGAGCTACAGTTCCCAGCACCCTGTCACCAGACACTCGTTGATGAGAGCCAGTTATTGGCAAAAATTGTACTGGTGCTAAGTGCTCAGTTGTCTATTTTACCTGCATTTAAGTTGTTCTCTAAGTATTAGTAGCATGCACATTGAAAAGGTAGTAGCTGACCAGCATATAGTCATTACATAACTAATCAGCCGTCAGGATTTAGTTAGTGGTTAGGTACGATAGAGCCAGAGGCCCCTCTGGCCTAGTGCCAGGGCAAAAGAAAGAACAGCTTAGGAGGACAGAGCCTCTCTAAACCCTAGGAATTCTGGGATATACCAGCTTCATTCATTTCTTAAGTTTGAGATTCTAGATACATTTTTGTTCAGTAAAAAAGATTTTGTCCCAAAACAACCCCACATATTCAGTTCATACACTTGCAGTGGAAATCAAGAGAACATACTATTAATTTTTTCCCCAAAAGAACATTTATAAACAATATGCTTCGGGAGGTGTATGTGCATGGTAAGTTTTCTTTATTCTTTTTAACTGACAAAGCAGTTCCTTATAAAAGATGAGCAGGCACTTCTAAAGTAGCTATAAACAGATGGACATGTATTAGTGAATATTTTTAATGGGACAGCTTCTTTCTGGGTTTGAACTTTAAGAAGAGGAGGGAGAACAGGATCTGAATTTTATTATTTTCATTCTATCCAGTGTGAAAATCCATGGGAAAGCTTTGGATAGCACTGTACTTAAAAGATACATGAATGAGATCACAGGATTAGTCCTGTCCCCTCAAAGCCAGGGCTTTCCCCTTTCCCTAGTGAGACATGATGAAGATGCCTTTACTACTGTCCTCTTGGCTCTTTTTAACAATGATAAAGAAAAAAATAAGTGGTTCCAACTTTTACCGGTAGCCAACATTAGTAGGTATATTACTGTTCAAAATTTCTTAGGTGTTCTTATAGAGAAAACCAGAAGCCTGGTTTACAATGCTATTCCTTATAC